TAGATTGGGCTAAGCCCATCTTCTTCTGGTACAAATTGAAAGGACCAAAGAGATCTTTTTCATCATTCGGCCCTTCTTTTGAATAGTTATTATATTATATATTATATATTATATACTATATAATAAGAGTGAATAAAATTCACTCTTCTTTTGACACATGGCACCCAAAAAAAGGAGAGGGTTGAACATAAGTCTCAAGGTGAGGGTATTTTGGGTATTTCAAAATACCCTCACATTCACACTTATGTACTACTTATATATTATACATTATATATTACTATTATATATTTATTTATTTTTAGTAGATAAGTGTGAATGTGAGGGTATTTTGAAATACCCAAAATACCCTCACCTTGAGACTTATGTTCAACCCTCTCCTTTTTTTGGGTGCCATGTGTCAAAAGAAGAGTGAATTTTATTCACTCTTCTTATATAGTAATATATATAATTAGGTGTACAAATAAAATTTTATATTGATAGTTATAAAAAAGGTAGATAGTGCAAATTAGTAATAAGATATATAGAGAGATACTTATAAAAAGTTAGACCTTTTGAAAGAAAAAAAATAGTGTGTCCTGTTAGCCCAAAAACAAATAATATAACGTGACTAGATGACTATAGAAATAGCATAATAATGACGTGGAACTCGATTTAATATTTTTGTCTATCGACGAAGAATAATTTACTATCTTTATCCACAACATTGGAGATGGAGTCGAGAAAAATGGTTAGGTCATGGGGTCAAATAATGGATCCCATAGTGTGACACTAATACTTTTGTTTTAATTAAATCCTTTTCCACCTTTGTTTCGATATATGCATTTAATTAATGTTTTAGGTTTCTTATATAGAGTCATAGAGTCATATTGTAGGTACAATGACATAATTTAAATGCAATAATTACATTCTATTAATGAGCATATACTGAAATTAGGGGAATAAATTATTCAAAACCAAATGAGGATTTACTTTCAATTATTCATTGCTAGGATGTGACATTTATTGCAGTAAATTCTGTTGAGTATATATATATATGCATGTGACCTTCTCATAGCTTAGGTGAGTTAGGCAATTATTTTAAGTTAAATAAAAATAACCTTCTAACTAATTAACATGTGCATTTTAAGCTTCCATAGAATTTAATGGCTTTGATTAAGTTTTGTATTTGTGTTAACAAAATCATTCAATATGTTAAAAAAAATTATAATTCAAAAATCAAAACCCAATAAAAAATCTTTTTTTTTTAAATTCAGAATTCGTTAACTTAAAATTCTGATTCCGCCTCTACTATTTTAGTCCTTTACGTAATAAATCCATGAATATTTAAAATAAATTATTTTTACATATCTTAGCCAAAGATAGTTGTTCGATATATTAGGTAAATTTTAAAATATAAATACAAAATCAAGATTGAAGTTATTAAATTTTGCCGAACACGTAACCAAATTATAATTCTACGCGTGCCTCTATGATATGGGTTATGAATGCTATTTACTTACTTATTTTTAAAAATTAATAATTCATATATGATTTTCATATTATATTTAAAATAGTAGAGCACTCATAATTTAATTTTTTTGAGTTCATTATATGTATGGCTTTTAGTTTAAGTCAAATTATTAGCGCGCATTTCATCATTAGCTGATATATATTTTCAAATAATGAACCGACAACGCATGGATTAAATCTTGACCTATATATAATATTATATTGTCTTTTAACTTTTTATTTACCTTTTTGTAACCAAAAAAATGATTATTGTCTTTTCTATAAATTGGCGGTTGCAAAAAAAAAAAGTGAAGACATTATTTGTCTTGGAGCAAACTGCAAATTTAAATCATAAACGGGTGTTTTTTTTTAAAGCAAAAAGGAAGTAAAAAAGCAAAGGCTAATTAATTATATACAAACAAAAGTACTAAAATTAACTTAAGTATTAGGAACTGGATTACGTGTTGATTATAAATTAATTCCTTCGTCAAAAAGAATGGTTTTTTAGCAGTATTCCTAAGACTCATGATGTGGATAAACTTTTCGAAAGGAAAAAAGGAAAGGATTTTTATGCTAATAATCAAACATATTTACCATTTATATTTTCTAATTGATATATGTATATAT